TGCTGCACACAAACCACAAGTTTACATCCGCTGTATGAAAACACATCAAACCCTTTATTTCTCTGTCTGACATTAAATCAGACCAAACGTTTCCTGTTTCAGCTCAGTCAGGATCACCGTTATGTCTATCTGCTGAACACCAGAATAATGAGACAGAGAATGTTTCAGAAAGTTTACATCCACTAAGATGCCTTCAGACTATCAGGTAAAGCCCAGATGATGATGTCATGGCTCTGGAAGCTTCTGATTGGTTAATTGACAACATGTGAGTTAATTGAAGGCCCACCTGTGGATGTATTTTAAGACACACCTCCAACACACTGCTTCCTAATATCTGTGTTTCTGTCTATATGTGTCTTCATAATATATATTTTATTTTATTTTATGTTATTGTGTCTCCTCTGGTGTTTCCTCGGTTCTTCAGCTGTTTTTAAGTTGTTTTATTAACAACATGATGTTTTGTTTTATTGCGTTTTTATTCCCGTCACCTGTAAAGCGCTTTGTGTTGCACTTCACTTGTATGAGAAGTGAAACATGAACAAGTTTCATTGAAAAGTCTTTTAGCTCCGTTTTACCTGAAGTGTGTCTGTTCAGGTGTTTCCTGGAGAAGGACAGCATGTGGACCAGCAGACGTTCATGTGTGTTTGTTAGCTCGTCACAAAGCGACACAGAAAACACAGGAAGGCCGTTCTGTGGAAGAGTCCAACCAAACTAACCCTGTGATATCTCTGACACAACAGCAGCACAAAGCTCACTGACAGCTCAGTTCAAAACACTGTCGGTGTTGAACCTCTGAACAGTTCAAACTGTGAAGCATCCGTTTTTATGGTTTTGTTAAATGGACGTGAGCGACAGAAGGACAAGGCAGGTGTCGTGTTTTATCAGAGGGGTTGTTGTTGCTTCACAATCACGGTTTTGTGTAATAATTGTTCTGCTGTTCTGTGTTGTTGGGTTGGACTGTACCATTACCACTCTGAGGGGGGTGCAGCCCGCAGCCAGCCACCGACCCACTTACTGCGTTGTGCATTATTATATAGCATCATGAGATAATTAATCAGCGGTTCTGGTGGAGGGTTTGGAGGCTTGTGTTGCTCATAGTCTGGAGCCATGGGCTGGTTTAGCATTGTTGTTGTGTTTCTGGGTTAAAAATAGAGTTGAAGCCTTTAAATATCTTTTTGTTTCCCCCCAAAAAACCTCCTGAAGCTGACCCAGAGGATGTGTGTGGAGTGTATACCACAAAACAATCAATACAGACCACAGGCTAATATACAATAAATACAGGAAAGGTGATTGTAGTTTACTGTCATTATACCAAACACCTAAAGAAGAACTATACACACCGACACTCTCTCACCTTTAGCTCAGTCAATAGTAAAAACATAATGAGAGCATCAGCAGCACAATAGGAACTCAGCTGAAGGTGTAATGTCCACTGTTATTACACTTATATCCCATCAGATATCGTAGTTGGTTCTAGGCTGCTCCCCCCCACCAGCCAGTAATGGTACAGTCCAACCACAACCACAAAACACTGTGATGGAAAATTAGAATAATGAGTTCTGTTCAAAACAATAAATATGAGCAAAGATCTGAATTCTGCGGCGACAGCACAGATGATGGAGGATGATTAACTTGAGGCTGAAGCGGTGACCGAGCGTTTTTATGGTCAGTTTGACCCGTACTCAGGCACAGACATCGATTTATCTCGTGTGGCAAATCGCCGCAGGGCAGCTGGTCAATGTTTTTGGTCACTTACTTTGACCATTCGTTTGTGCAGTCGTCACTGCCGCCAGGACTCACGTATGAAAAGCTTTTTTTTATGTAATTCGAGACGTGGAGAACATGCAGCAGCAGAGGCTTCTGGGAAACGCAGTGTTCCATGACAATGGGGAGAAAGTTAAGATGTTAGCGTTAGCATGAGTAAAAAAACAGTGAATGTGAAGGTGCTGGAAGATTTTTAAAATGTTTTTCAGGGTGTTTTTAAGGTCATGATTTTCTAGCCTTGATAAAATTCTATTTAACTGTCAAGCTAAAGTAAAACCAGTCACCAAAATTTAGCTCCAAGCTAAGCTAGCTTAAAGCTAGCATTAATTAAGATAAAACATAAAAGTTTTTCTGCAAGATATTCCTCAGAAAACAATAATATGAAATACTAACAATATGAAAAATAAAGTGGCAAAAAGAAAAAGCAGCAAACTATAATTATGACACGTTACTGAAGCTCCGCTTAGCTAAAGCTAATCTAGCATGAAGCTAATGTTGGATCTTTCTTTTTTAAGATAAGATCAAACTTTTTCTGCAAGATAATCCTCAGAAAATAATAATATAATATGAATGAAAACTAATAATATGAAAATGAAGTGGCTGAAAGAAACAGAAACAATATATG